AAAATGTAGAAAGCAGGGGTCGCAACCACTTCTCCGTTGGTTTTATGTTCCCGCAGCCTATAGCCACCTGGCTTCGACCGCCCTCAGACGTATTTGGTGCGCAACATGTGACAACATCCTAGCACCCTTAGAACTATATTTTGGAGCAGAGTGAGACTTTCAGCACCATTGGACCACTTCCTCTATAGTTGAGTGATATCGTCAACCTTAACGTTGAGTTGACCATCACGTCATGAAGAAAGAGGGCTTCGCGGATCTACCGTCACTCATCTAAGTCATGAGCTTGGGCCTGCTACTCTTTGGATGACTGGATTTCGGAGACACCACGCACAAATCTCGATCTTTTGTCGGTTTGCTTGCGGTATTTTCCTGGGTTTCGCTACTTTGCCCATGTGCAATCCAAGGGGTTTCAAGGAATATATGAACGCCGCGAGACGTTTCACGAAGACAGTGAGCTGACAAGAGGGCGATCGCCGCTTCCTCATCCATCTGAAATGTCACCTGAATTAGCCATGGATTGCCATTGTGAACTGAGTTTTAGTGGCGGACGATACGACACAAGCTAGCCTGTTTGACCTAGATTCCCTTTGCTTGGCAAGTGGATTCCAGTTGTTTCAAGTCATACAGTATTTTGCCTTGAATAGAGTTTGACTTTGACTCAGATACGTTAGCGCGTGTTATCTTCAACGAGTCCTGCTTCTTCCTAGTGTTCATGCTTTTGGAGAAGCTATTGCCCCATTTTACTGACGGCGTAGTGTGCGCCCTTCTCGGAGGCGCACTTGTAGTCGTTTCATCTCCAAAACTCATTGAAGTAGTTGCAAATATATCCGCAAATCTTGCCCTGGGTTTTCATGCAGCAACGTCGGATGCGTAAGTTATCAGACTTTCGGCAGTGTTAGATAAACCCGAATACAATAGAGTGACAAGTGAGACAGACCCACAACCGGCAGAAACCCCTGTCTGCCGGGGTTGACAGATTCTGGCTGCCAATTCCCGCGGTTGGGGTTCTTGGCTTTGCGCTGCTAACTGTACACTGGCTTTGGATATTCTATTTCACGTTGAACATATATTTTAGCAACGGGCTATGAATCCCGATGCAACTGGTTTCAATGCGACCGTTATACCAGCGTAATAGCTGACAGTTTGTCACATTTCTGAGTCATCACGGCGATGCACCTTACGAATAGCTTGACCATGAACTAGCTACAGAACCTAATGAAGTCTGGTTTGCACCGTAATACTTTCACTTTTGCTGCACTGGAATTTACGCAGCTGCGGCGATAGTTCTTACTGCAGTTACTACATTTTACTCCAATGCAAATAGTTTTGGAGCACGATTTCCAATCGCAAAGGATTTTTGCCTGCAGCTGAGTGGGTGTTGTACACATTTTTTCTTGTTGTTGTATTGCGAGGCATTGCCGAGGCGGCAGTCATGTATGTAGATTGCAACCGCCGTATTACAACTTCAGTAAGTAAACAAAGTGAAACTAACGTGCAGAATACTTTTTGTCTCAGCAGCATCCGACTGAAATACTGGTAATTGAACTTTCGTGTTCTCGTGTTCGACTGACAGTCTTGACAATTGAGCCACAAAGTCTATTCATTAAAAGACACAACGTCGAAAATGCATCCAAGTTGGTTAGGCTACTTATGAACTCTGTCATTTATGCAAAGTTATAGTAATGACCACTGCAAACAGTCATGATTTGCTACTTTTTGAAGATACTGAGTGACACGAGTAATTCCTACCCGTAACAGGCTTATTATTGCGAGGACTGGTGAAGCCGTATAATTTCATTGACGGAAGCGACCCAAAGTTCTATGGTCAAATCGTTTGTTGCGAGTTAAGGATTATATTTTGGTCTATTTCGTCCTGTCAGAGCACTTGGCTTACTACATTGATATCCGTGCTGTTACTGTGTTTCCTCGAGAAATAAACCTCAAAGACTTCTCTGTAGTTGTGTCTGATCTTGCACGAGCATTTACTTGCTAACCAAACTGAAGTAGTATCCTTTTCGTTCGCATTCAAATCTGACTATATTAATGTGTAATGCATCTCATACTCAACGCTCATGTTTCCATAATATTTTCTTTCCTAATATTATGCCGCTTTTACAACGGATCCATTGCGCGCTACCTCTTAATTCACGTATTAGTGATTGCCCATTGTCTACGTAGAATTTTCCGCGTGAGTTACGGTGTGGGTGCTGTTTAAAAATGCGTTTGATTTTCATATCCGTCATCATATACCTAAGTAAAACTCGATTGTTTGTTCCATGCCGTTGTGCTCAAATATTTTGCTTTGTTTTTGCTCTCTATTCGTTTATCCTACTCACACTCCTATTTAGCACTGTTTGGCCCAGCCATATTATCTTGCATTTGGTTGAATGCAATTCGAGCGTCTATTGAGTTACTTGTAACGCGAGTATGTGCAAACAGTTTTTCCATACAAACGTTCCGGTGCTACTTTGGTCTGCTGCTTTTTTCGGGAGACAATACATGTGAATGCCTGTTAAAACCGATACGGATAACTGCATTGGTAATACACGGGATTACCTTTTCTCATTTGATTCTAAATGCAGCAGCGCTATTCGACTCTGCGAGCTGGTGTTCGGAATCCGCTTATTTCTGTGACCCAATGAATCATTACTGCTTAGCTGCATGGTTCGATCACTAAGTAAGCATTTATTGTGATCTGATATACCTCACCCTATTATCGTCGCATTTTATTACTAGCTCCAAAGATATGTCTATGTTTTGTGACATTCATCGCAGATTGTTGTTGTTCAAAAGGTATGCTTCCGGATATGCAGTTCAAATGAACTACGGAGGCAGTAGTTAATAATGGATAAAGCATAACTGTAACATGCCCAGTAAGAAGGAGCAGTTGATAATCAAGAAAACAAACTAAGGTCAACTAAAAAGAATATGCTAGTAGACTCATCAGCAAGTTAAACCGAACATACCGATCACTCGTGTTAGGTTGACACCCTTTCAGTAGGGAATATATATTCTAGTGAAAATGCGTATGTGTATTAGTGAGACGTTTTTGGAATACGGGTAACGTAGAGGGAGGAAACAGCATAAGTGTGGAGAACGTCCCAAGGTTGGCACACAGAAAGCGAGAAGAAATGTTGACGGCATTCCAACCGGTAATGTTGTCAACTGTAGAGGATGACCTCAGTGAGTTGTGTTGTAATTCAAGTTGACAATGTGACATCAAAGGTTATTAGGATACCTCAGAATCTGACACATCATTACCAAATCGCCACATGTGCACAGATAGTGTCCACTGTAGGCCCCAATGGCTGTCAGCTTCAGTGGTTAAATGGGATAACACCAAATTTTCCATACTTGGTCGCCCTTTGTTACACCATTTCGAGTGTGGCATGGTTTTATATGCCAGGACTGTCAGGCGTGGACGCTTTAATCTGAATTGGGCCTAAAACAGGCTCTGAGCATCAGGTAGAAAACAGGATACAAAACGCCTAAATTCTCTACGCATTAGGTCAATGTGTTGGTTGGCTTTTACGGATCATTTCTTGGCCTGAGTTGAAAAGCCAAAATCTTCTTTTACCATAACTGCTAGGTCGCATCCAACAGCAACATGCAATAAAACTTAACCAGCCCAAGCTTTACTCGCAATAGCCTTGATGTCGTGTACTCAATGTATTAAAATCGGTGGCGCTGGAAGGAAGCAGATTTGGCGTCAAGTGATCACCTACCTTTCCGAGATTATGCTGCCATGCTACGTGGTCACTTGTTGTTTTGATGACCAGTCCTATCTTGAGAACATCGAGAAAAGTAAAAAATGTGGTGTCACTTTCGTGTGACTGTTTAGGTAAATCAATAGCAGGTGTGGACTACGTGGACTACCTGTGAAACTCCTCGCGGAACATCAGTAGGATCGGATACGATGCTAAGAACTCTCAAATTTAGATGTATGTGAAACTGGTGAAGGAGAATGCGGTGGTTCAAGCGGTCGAACACTTGTGGTTTGTTTAGATAAACCGCTTCAAATCCTAAAACACTGACAATTTGATAGAAGTCCAACTTGGGGAAGCAAGCAACATGTTTGTAGTGCAAGGTGGGCTTTTTGATGTAATCCATGTTGTTCTGATGCTAAGGTGTTGCATCCATCCATTTAACCAGAGGCGCTTCGGTTATAAGGACCTCCATAAATTTGGAAAGCACCAAGGGGGATTATAGAGCGATAGTTGGCCGGATATGCATGAGGTCCCCGTTGGAAATGACAGTGACGATTCCGTGCTTCCACATTGTTTGGACCAGCATGCTATCAATACATCATTAGAATAACTGAGGGAGAGATTCCGCCAAATT